TAACAAGGATGATCGTGAGTTCAGTTTTAATCCTTATACCCTCCTTAGCTTAATAGGAGAGGCCAATTCTGACTTGGAGGCAAGATTAACTTAAGACAGTAGGTTATCATAAACTTAAAGCAGAAGTTTAGTCTTTCCTCTGAAAACAGCCCTTGGAAGTAAAGTACACAATGGTGTACTGTTTTCTTTGCCAGTAGGGGTAGTGGAGAGCTAACAAAGGGGGAAAATCAACCAACATTAAGCCCTCTGCATTATTTTCCCTTGGCTATTTGTTTTCTGACATTTTGAAGGGAAGTGGAATTTTCTCATGCTACAATCTCCTATACAGTTTTAAAAATTGCAGTAATGAGCACATTTGGCATATAGGTCTTAATTTGTAATATAGGTCTTTGAAGGGGAGAGATTTCTGATCATATAGGAAGCAGTCTGCCAAATATGAGACAATTAAAGCTTCAAAACATATGATAATGAATTATAAAACATTGAATAAGACTGGATACCATGGCACATATCTATAATCCCAGTGGCTTGGGAAGTTGAGGCAGGAGGATTGTGAGTTCAAAGCCAGCCTCAGCAAATGAGAGGCGCTAAGCAACTCAATGAGGCTCTGTCTCTAAATAGTATTCAAAATAGGACGAGGGATGTGGCTCAGTGGTTGGGTGCCCCTAAGTTCAATCCCTGGTACTCCTCCCCAACCCTACAAAATTGGGGAATACATGTAGGTATTTGGTATATGATTCTTTATGAAGTAATGATGAATCAATTTTAAATTTTCTTGGGTATAATAATTGTACTGTGATTAATATAATGTGCTTTTGTTCTTAAGTGATATATACTTGGAAATATTTAGAGTTTTTTTAATGGATCAGCTACCAAAAAATAAATAAATAAATAAATAAACAAACAAACAAACAAATAAATAAATAAAAAACACCCAAACTATGGAAATAAATTAAATCTGGCAAAAGATTAATAATTCGTAGATCTAGGGTAAGGCACATACAAGTATACAATGTGCTATTCTTCCAGTTTTTTTTTGCAGGTTTGAAATATTTCAAAAGGAAAATTGAGAAAAGTAAGATGTTTATACATGAAAGCAACAGAATCAATTTTCAGTTTTGTATTTTGCTGCCTTTGGGCAGAATTTTGAAAAGTGTTGCTAAAGTAATGGAAGGATACCATCTCCACTATCATGCTATAGAGAAATTTACAATTTACCCTGGTTATTCCTATATTATAACAATCAGACTATATTAAATGATCAAACAAACAAAAGTAACATTCTGATTTTTTATCTATTTAGATTCATTCTCCTTCCCACCCTTCCACCTTGGGACTGCAGAATGCTAACAATCACTCCATAGTTCTATTCAGTTGTCTTTTCTTATGTAACTTTTATTTTCTTTAAAAATGTCTATATAAGTTTTCTTTTCTAACAATCATTGCTTTAGGTGATGAAATTAAAAGATGAACATATGATGTGGTCCCTGTGTCAAGGAGTTCATACTTTAATATTAATAATGTGATTTGGATCTTTGGGAAGCTAGAACATGAAGTATTGCGTGCTGAAACAACAATAATAATAATTCTCATTTTGTAGATGAGACAACTAAGGTACAGAAGAATTAAATAATTTGCCCAAAGTGAAAATAATAGGCATAGCTCAGATTTGAATCTAGGCCAGCTTGGTCCTTAATCTATAGTATGGATGCTGAGGGAACAGTTAATCTTGCTTGAGACATGGGTATATTTGGAGAAGTTCCAGACCTTGGGCATTTGACCTGCATCTGGAGAGAATACATAGGATTTTGCCAGATGAGGAAAGGAAGAGCATCATAGTCAGAAGTATACCAAATGGTCTAAGAGGCATGAAAATGCAGCATGTTTTTGGAATGACAAATAATTTAGAATAGCCAGATCATAACAGTAGCTGCCAAGTGAATCTGGAAGGTTAGTCAGGCCTTATTGTTAAGGGCCATCAGGTATACTGTGTTGAGTTTGAACTTTATTTGTGGATTATGAGTTGCCTTTGAAAGATTTTAAAGTAGACACGTTTAAAAGTTGTGGAGGCTGAACTGAAGACAGGAATGTCAGTAAGGAGCCATTGTATTCTTCCCAGAGCTGTGATTACTTGTATGAGGAGAGGACAGGATGGAAAGGAGACAGGTGGGACCAGCAAAGTATTATTTGGGTGTGGGAAACTCAAAACAACTTTGAGATTCCAATTTGATTGACATGGTACTTAGAGATATTATTAATTCATGTCAGGAAACAGAGGGTAATGGCAAAATGTTTGGGGAAATCTTTTTGGATATATTGAGTTTAAAATATCTGTTGAACTTCTGGGTGGAAGTTCTGATATGCTGTATATTCTAGTTTCATCTCTGTGTTGTTGATGAGTCTATGGTAAGTTGATGTTTCTTAGCCTGTTTTTCTAGAGCATTTAAGTTCACATTTATCACATTTTCAATTATTTCACACTTCAAAATAATTATTTAGAATAATTAGCTTCAGCGTGTATTGGTGAAAAAGTATATTTTATCCATAAATTACAGATTCATGAGTAGGAGGGGAAAGACTTGTGTTGCATTTAAGTCTGGTATAGCTGAACTGACAGAATTATGGAGTTTAACATTTAAACTTGATTGATCTACTGATACATAATTTTAAAGTTCTACAACCTGGGAGCTTCTCCAAGGTATAACTTTTGTCCTTCCTTCCTTCCTTCCTTCCTTCCTTCCTTCCTTCCTTCCTTCCTTCCTTCCTTCCTTCTTTCCTGATGTCGGGAAAGAAAAGCATATTTAATGATTCTTAAAAATTAGAGTGTTTTGTCCTTGTATAACATTTAAAATAATCTATATATGTATATATATATATGATAAACATTAGAATACAAAAGTGTCTCTTTAAAAAAAGAATGACTACATCCTAAAATGATTTGTTGATAATTCATAGTCATAAAAATGAAAGATAGTAAGAGATCTGCTAGAACTCAGCAGATCTGGCAAAGTGTATGTTATTAGACTCTTGGGTTGGCTTAAATTACTAGGTATTTTTCAGTTGGTGGGAAAAGGGATTATGCTTTGAAGAAGTCAGGAGAGGAAGTGTAGAAGAACAAAAAAATACCAAATGGCAACTTAGACCAATCTCAGTTTTTCATAGCTTGGCCATCTCTAAAGTCACATTTAGCAGAAACATTAATTAGATTTCAGTACCCTACTGAGTTTTAAAATTAAACATATTTCTGGAACCATCTGTAACATTTTATCACTAATAATATAATAAAGACTATGCTTAACCTTTTGAAAAATGAAAATTCTAACAGACTATTTTTGCTCACAAGCACTATTTTATTATGAAAAAATTTATAAGTGAATGTAAAAGAGTTAAAAAGTGGAACTGGGAGTATAATTTGGTGGTAGAATGCTTGCCTAGCATGTGCAAGGCCCTCAGTTCAATCCCCAGTGCCACCAGGGTTTTAAAAAAAAAGTAATTGAGTTTTAAGAATATAGCTAAAAATAATGTAAATATTCTCATTGGTGAGAATTTCCTAAATTCAAGATTTTCTCTGGGGTTCTTTTAGATCTAAAAATATTGGCAGTGGGTTTATGCCATCTGCCAACATATAATGCCTCCTTGTTTGAGGCTGGATTGAAGCCAGTCAGAAAGGAGTCGTCGTCTTTATCCAGGAGCTGCAATTGCCTCAGTACATCAGAGAAGAATAGAAACCAGAGGTGGAAGATGTGGCCCCTAAGAATGCAGGTCCTCAAGCCAAGATGCCTGTCTCTGAACTCCTCTTCTAACCTTAATGAGGCCTGTTCCTTAATCCCTTTGTGCCTCATTTTCTTTATCATGAAATGGAGATGACCACACCCACTTTAGTGGGTTGTAAGGAGCATAAGATGCATCCTTATGCTCTTTGAACATAAGATGCATCCTCACAACTATTCCCATTCCTGCATACTCTTCTATTTCCATTGCTTTTTATTTGTACAACTTATTACTCTCTCAGGCCTGAGTTTTTAGGGGGAAAAAAATCTTCTGGAAACCAAAGAAGTGAGGAGCAAGCATTTTCTGTCTCACCTGTCCATTCCCCACTTCATCTCTCATTTCAATTTCATGTGACATACACAAGACCCTTGCCTACTTTGGAAGCCTCATCTCCTAATATTTCCTTTCTTTAAGCCTTTTGGGACTAATCCCTAGGGTGCTGAATCAACTTAGAAATATACATTTCCCCATCTGCCTAGAATATTCTTTTCCTGCATTGCACTTCCTAAAAATCCCAGTCATTCAGTTATTCATGTATTTCTCATTTTCTCTGACACCCTCTGGTTGGATTTGAGTGCTCCTTCTGTGTGACCTTACTGCTACCCTCCCTGCCTCTATATCAGAGCACCTGTCAGAGCACTGTGTCTTTCCTTGTCTGTTCCCTCTAGTGTGAAGTGAATCCCCCATAAGGCAGCAACTGTGACTGATTTGTATAATTTTTCTCTAGCCTAGTGCTATTTATAAATTAATCACACTAAAAGTAAGTAAATAAATAAATAGCCAGTTCCTTAAAAAAAATCAATTGCCATTGAAAACATTAATATGCTAGAATATGGTAGAATGAGAAATAAGGGAATTAGATTTGGAAGCTGTGATTTCATAGCCTCAGGAAAGATATTTTTAAATTTTCTTTTTTTTTTTTTTTTTCAAAAAAAGTAGCCTTATGGGATTAGCCTTAAAGTGTTGGAAAATATAAGCAGTTTCATTTCTTGTCTTGGAGCATTCCTTTTTTACTCTTTAGCCACAGAATACTACTTATACAACTCAGATATTATCCAACTTACAACTTAGGCCAAGTTAAGATAGGATATTTGCTCTCTAATAGAGTACAATATTTTTTAGCAATATTTTTGTAGCATTTTTTTTTTGTAATTTGTAAGCAGAAACAAAACAAAAAACTCCAACAAAGAGTAACAATGACTTCACAATGAATTTTAACTTTATTTTAGCAAAAGAACCTGGAAATTGAAAGAACTACCAAATGGCTGAAAATGCTAAAAGGATGGGAAAAATACAAGAACACTGAAAAGGTAACTTTAAATCATGTTATTTCCATGTGAAACTGTATGTATTCAATGTGGATTTCACAATAAGAACTTTTCTTCAATTATGAGTGTTGCATTCATATTCACTTTTGAAAATTTCATTTAACTTGATAGAATGCCTTTTCTTAGCAGTCTCTATGTTGTAAGTAACACAATACCCAACTCAAGATTGGTTTCACCAGTTAAGTGGCTGTGTTGGGTGGGTTTTAGGAGTGATTTCAGCTCAATTATGGTCCCAGTGACTTGGCTTCTTCCATCTCCTCTCTGCCTTCTGCAGTGTCTGCTTCCTCTTGAGGTTGGCTTCCCTTTAAGGTCAGAATCACAGTAGCAGTTGCTTCATATCCCCATGTCACACTGCTCAGGGCTAACCTCAGAATATTTTCTTTGCTGCAGTAGCAGTCTCCTCTTCCAAAAGCTTCTAGCAAACCTCTCCTTAAATCTTTTTGCTCTGCAGTGAATTTGTGCCAAATTTTAAACCAATTAAAGAAACACACACATCTGTTAATATCACTACCAGTCTGTTGGAAAAGTCTTTAAATAGTGGGAAGGTGCCAAGTTCTTGGTGGTAGAAGTTTTTCAGAGTTCTAATTTTTACTTGAAAGGTCATATGTGATCAGTGAAACAAGACAGTGTTAGTTATTTTCCTTCAAATGACAGTCTCATTTATTTTGAGGAAATGTCTGCAAAAATACTACATCAAATCTGAACAACCATATAGTTATGGTTAGTCATTTGTTTTTTCGAGTAATAATGGTGTTCTATGAAAAAAAGAAGTAGGTTCAAATTGTTACATAAACAGTTTCACAACGGCTTTTTCCTTAAGTAACGATGTGTGCAGCAAGTGCCATATACGTTTCCCACTTTGTCACTTGGCATGTCAGTAAGACATGAACTCAAGATTCAGTCACATTTTTACTACTTCATCAAGGGTATCCTTAAGTGAAACTGATTTTTTTTTTTTAAACTGAGAGAAGAACACAGTGGTTCCTAGCACAGCACTGTTGCTGCCCTGATTTGTGCCAAGGTATAGTGGTTTTCTCTTCCTTGCTTTTCTGCCCTCAGAGCAAAAGTCAACACAGTGAAAATGGAAAGTTTGGTTTTAATCATATTCTGAAAATAGTTTGGACCTCATAGTACATACTTTGCAAACCACTGTCATCTAAGCCTCAATTTCTTCATCTGTGAAATGGAGATAGTAGTACTCATTTCAAAAGGATGAAGATTTAATGGGAAGCACATAGCATTGCTTCCTACATTGCTGTAGGAAGCATGCAGTGTTAATACTGATAGTAGGTGTTTTTTTTTTTTAAGAGAGAGAAAGAGAGAATTTTTTAATATTTATTTTTTAGTTTTCAGTGGACACAACATCTTTATTTTATTTTTATGTGGTTCTGAGGATCGAACCCAGCATCCTGCGCGTGCCAGGCAAGCGCGCTACCGCTTGAGCCACATCCCCAGCCCCTTGTTAGTAGTTTTTTGAAAGAGAGTTAGACAATAAAAATTTTTTAAAGGAAAAATAAGAAATCTTCCGGAATCCTATAGTAAAAACACAACTGAGTTGTTAGGATTTTTTATTTCCTCACACTTTTTTTCTATATAATCCCCACCACCACCACACATACACACACACTCTTTTTGTATAGATTTAAATTATTGTATGTCAGCACTTGCCAGCAAGAATTCCACAGCATCAGTCCCCTGGGTTCTAATAGGTATTACATAGAAGCAGTGAAACCTCAAGGTGAAGAGGAGTTGGAGTCATCCCATCCTGGTTCAAACTCTAGCTCTGCCACTTACCAGCTTCATGACCTTGGGGAAGGTATTTAACCATTTTCTGCTGTAGTGTATTCATCTGTAACATGGCAATAATAATTGTACCTATCTCATATAGTTGTTGTGAGGATTAAGTAAGTTAATTTAGTAAATAAGCACATAGACTAGTAGTGCTTGACAGGGTGCAGTCTGAAAGTGTTGTCTATTAAATAAGAAAAGGGCTCTCTGCTTAGAGTTGGGTATATCAGAGCCAAAGTTAAGCTAGGTGCGTTTGCTAAAAGACTCCTTAGTCTTTGATAGTATAGTGCAGTGAATTTTTTAGAGTGACCTTAAATTATGTGAAACTTTATTTAACCATGCAGATCTTTTTGGAACAGGTATCTCACAGAGCTAATATTATTTTTCTTTTTGAGAAACCTAAATATTCTTATTTTAAAGTCAGTTGGACTCTTCTATTATTTTACTCAAGAGTGAATTCATTTTGGGTTGTTGATTTTAACTGTCTATTTTGGCATTGGTTTTGGAACTCAGGGTATTTTTAAGAGAAATCAGTTCAAAGTGGACGATTAGGTACAATACCTATGCTCTTGTTTAATAGTATGCTGTCTCTCAGATTAGCCCAGAGTTGACAACTACTTTACCTTATGTCTTCATGGAAAGATTGCTCAATTGGCAATTACAGGATAAATTTCCATGCGTTGCACTTCCACTTTCATCTTGCATTCAGTCTAATAAAATGTTTGTAGAATTATATGGCCTTATGTTCTCTTCTAGCATACATATATCTATGAAAATATGTAAGTCTCTGTAAAAATGAGCAATTCTACTAGGCTATTATTCTGACAGCAACTCTGGCTAATGCAGTTTCCATTAAAAGAGATTTTAACAGAAGTATTTCTTTGATGTATAATTTTAAAGCACTCTCCCATAACTATAATGTTAGCATCATTTGATGACATATATGGTCCAATTTGGTGTGAAGCAGATTGTACCTTCTAAAAGAATTACTGCTTTCAATTCATACCTTATTTTATTGCATTGAAGTAAAAAGTAACATGTATTTTTTTTTCATCTCTTCCAATGGAAGAAAGTATGTCTTCTCTCCACAAATTCCTTACTTTCATAGCAATAATACAGAGAAGTTCTAAAAATATTTTGAAATAAAAATACAGCTGTGGTAGAGAGTATTTGGAGTTTTAATTTAAAAAATTTCCTTTAGGATGTGTTGCCTATGTGTTCTCACAGAGGCTATCTCCCTGTGGACAGTATTTTAAAAATATAGTTTATTAAATGAAGTTATTTCTGCTAAGACCATTATGGTTTAAGTGGCCGTGACATCATTATGTCTAAGTTCTGTCACAGCAATGTACCTACAACAGATACACATCTTTCTTTTTTGGTCAGATAACTGAATGTCTCTTTGAGACCATGTTAGTCAACATCTTATTTTACTGAGCAGAAAATAGATCCATTGTTTAAAAATAAATTCTCCAAGGTCACTTGACTCGTTAGCAACATCCAGACTGCAGCTCACTTACTGGTTCCACCTATTATGCTAGCCTTTCCTTTTGGTTTGTCAATGAAAGGTCAGATGGAAATAGAACACAGTTAGTAGGGCCCTATGTATGGTTCAGTAGTTTCATGTCCAGATTTGGGAGACTGCTGCCATTGGAAGGCAGAGATGGGAGCTGAGAAAATGGGGAGGCACTACAGAGCATCAGCAGTGCACAGTGCACTTCTGTTTCATGTTATGTACTTGAAGTTCTGAAAGTTCCACAAAATAGAGCCAGACTTTCTGGGTTGAAAAGTTTACTAACTGGAAGGCAAAGTGATATGGATTAACACATTGTTTTGAGGGCACTAAGTTTAAAAAAGAGGCATTGAAAACAGTCATTTAATGGAACCTTTGTTTTTTATTTTTATTTTTTTTTAAGTTGGTAGATTTTAAACATTGGCAAAACTAAAGTAGACTGCTTAATTCTGGGGGCAAATGAACAAATATAGTAGAAATGAAAGGCAAATTTCAGGCAACTTTTTTTAAAAAAAGATTTTGTATATGGAATCCACAAATTTGTAAAAGAATTTTAAAAGTGGTACCTTTCAAATTTAAGTATTAAGTTATTGTTAAAATCCAATATGTAGAGGTTCTGTATTTTAGTTGTTGAGACTGGGTTCTGAAGTCAGACTTACTGAATTTGAATTCTTATGACACAGTTTACTTTGAGCTAGTAACTTCTACATCTTAGTTTTCTCATTTGTAAAATGGTTTTGATAATAATACTAACTTCTTTAGAGACATACTATAAGGGCAAAATTTACTTAGAAATAAAGCATAATCTGGGCTTACAATAGACAGCCAGAAAATGTTAGAGTAATTATTGTTATAAATGTTAAAGATACCATTTGATTCATCATTATCTTCTCTCCTGTTCCCAACTTCATTTCCCATTTCAGGCACATTTATATGTATCTTTGTCATTTTTTCTAAAGGAAATCTTTCCCAATTCTCATACATAGAATTAGTTCTTCCTCTGTTGTCTCAAGTATAGTCTTAGGATGAGAGCCACTGTATCAGGCATGAGTGACCACATTGTAATGGCCATAGTAAGTTTGCATGTTATTTTGATAATTAGACTTGAGGGGGAAATGTCATTACCAGAAGGTGGAGAAGTATACTGAATTTTAAGATTCTTAGGGCAATCATGTACTTTTCAAGGACCCAAAGAGTTAATGATACTGATGAGTACTGTCTAATTTCATTAAAAAGTCATGTTTTCTTTGTTGGGGATTTTTCACTATATTTGTCTAATCAGATAGGTTCAATGTTAAAGGTTTTCCTGAAGAAATATCAATAAGTGAAAAGACAAAGGAGGGAAGAAAGGGAGTGTGTGGGGTGGGTTGGGGTGGGAGGAAGAAAGAGAGGGAACTAAGTGAGGTATGAGGTAAATGGCAAGGAGTTTGATCTGTTCTAGAGGCCCGGGAGAGAAGATGGTAACAAAGAGATTAGGTGTTACACAGTATTCTCGGCACACTGTGAGGACACATTTAGCACAAGGCAACCTTTTTGCTATTTGGAGCACTTTCTAGGTGAATGGGGAGAAGGGATCAAAGTGTGTAATAGGGAATGTCAGTAATATGTTCCTGGCTTACCAGAGAGCATTGACTATGCTTTTGTGCCTTTTAAAGGACACTTTGATAATAGTATGAACATACTAATGTAATATACTGAGCATTCTTGATGCTTTCTTGTTTATTCTTTCCTTCTGTGTCTAAAAAAAGGGAGTTGACAATTTAAATCTATCAACTGATTAAAATGTATTAATTAATTGTCATGGATACTCTGAAAATAAAAGACAAACATAACCTGGATTGATTGAAGGGACTATTCTAAGTTTTAGTCCGTTTGAAACTTCTAGTTTCTTTTTCTTTTAATAAGTTTCATAGGAGAATTTACAAAGGAATCCCACTCCAGCTCCGAGGTGAAGTCTGGGCTCTACTTCTGGAGATCCCTAAAATGAAAGAAGAAACAAAAGACCTTTATAGTGTAAGTACCTAAACTAATGGTTACTTTGAAAGTTAAAAGTAAAATAATATTTTTAAGCTGTCATGGTGATAGAAGATACTTGTATCATTACTTGAAATGATATTAAAATTATATTACATTGGACTTTGGAGGCCTGTTATTTGTTTTATTGACTGTAATTTAGTCAAATTTCAAACAAATAACTTTAGTAAAAATATGATCAATATCAGTCAATGAGTATCAAGTGCTTTGCTTTTCAATTATATAAATGATCACAGTATTTCAAATGATCCATCAATGTTGGGACATTTTTGTAGGAAAATTGACTTAACTCTGATTATAGTATCAATAAAGAGATTTGCAGTATCATTTTTAGAATTTATGAGAAAATAACAGCAGAATTCAGTTTATATAACAACTGCCTGTGTCTGATTTTTTTATAAGATTGAGAGAAGAATTTGTCCCCAGGAATATTAATTATTAATAAAAAGTTAAACTTTTGACTGTGTGGTCAATCTTTTGTAACTAGACAGTACATTAAATTTGTCTTCTTATCATCTGAGTTATACCCTTTCTAAGCCCAAGTTTTAATGTATTAACCTTTGAAAGGGAGTGAGGTATTTACATTGAAGAATCTTAGATGCATAGATTTTGAAATATGTTCCTTGGAAAATAATGTAAATAAATATATGATGCATTTAAATATATAAATTAAAATTGAATAAATGGAAAAAAATTATATGTAGCTTACTCTAAAGTAAATTATAAGAAGCACTTTGGTGCTCTTTCAGTATTTTTCTTTTCTTTTTTATGTATGTATATAGGTGAATTTCATCAAGATAAAAAGTAATAAATACTAATTAAAGAGCTACTCATTTCATGTGAATAAAAGACTTGCAAAATTCAGCTGTTTGGAGTTTACACAAGCCGAGTTTATGTCTCAAGATTTTAGAGTTTCAAATTTCAGGCTGTTGATTAGGTGTTTGCTTTTAGTGTCATAGTTTTAGAACCAGTGTTCAAAATAAAACATATTTGAGAGAACATACAGAAAACGTAACCCCAGCACTTGCTACAGTGTGCCTAGCATATAATAGGTGCTCAGTAAAAATTTAACTAAGAAAAGCAGCATGTTCTTTGTTTACATACTGTATTCATTTCCTAGGGCAGGCTACCACTGAGTACCACCATCTGAGTAGCTTAAAACTACAGAAATCCATTCTCTCACAGTTCTGGAGGATAGAAAGCTGAAGTTGAGGTGCTCAAGGCTCCAGGGAAGAATACTCCCTTGCCGGCAGTCCTCAGGGTTCCCTGGCTTGCAGCAGTGTCACTTCATTTGTGCTTCCTTTGTCATCTGACCTTCTTTCTTTTGTGTGTCTGTGTCTGACTGTCCTGAAGAAGACACTAGTTATTGGTTTTAAGGTTCACTCTAACCCATTATGACCTCATCTTAATTTGCTGTCTTCAGATGTTTTCCAGATAAGGCCACATTTACAAGTTCTGAATAGATATGAATTTTGAGGGAACATTTTTTAACCCAATGTATCTGCTAATAATAGAACTCTAGTTTTCAGTTTTATATATACATATATATATATATTAAAATATTTATTTTTTTGTTGTAGTTAGACACAATACCTTTATTTTATTTATTTTTATGTGGTGCTGAGGATTGAACCCAGGGCTTTGCGCATGCTAGGCGAGCACTCTACCGCTGAGCTACAACCCCAGCCCTCAGTTATATTTTATTTCATTGTTTGCAAAGAATAAAATTGTCTCATGGCTGGCATAATTTAATAAAAACTGTCCATAGCATAAACAGAAATGACTTGGCTGTTTAAGCTCATAATTTTCATTGTTGTCATAAACATTAGTTTTACTTTGAGGTTTCCCAAGCGTCATTATACAACCAGGTCTTTCTTTCCTGATGACTCATTCTTACTCTCTCAAAAGTGGTATACATTGCACTTGACACATCCCCCCATGAACTGGAACTTTACCAGGAGTAAAACTACTTTATCTTAAATCTACTAAAATTTTTCTGACATGGGTGAAATTATTTGGAGCCTGGCATATTTTAAGCATTCATTCCTTTAAGTTTGCTCGATGACATGTGTATCCTTTCTTGGGATGAGACTTTGAGGTGCTGAAGAGCACACAAACATAAACAGGTGCAGTGTCAAGGAAGTGTTCTTCTCTATTGGAGAAGACATGATTGCATAGAAGTGTTTAGCATTAGTTGATGTGCTAAATACTCTAAAAGTAGTAAAACAAAAAATTTGCCTGGGTTGAAAGGAAAGAGTAAAAGAAGGTACATTACGGTTCGGGAAGTCTTCATAGAATAGGAGCCTGAGAGGAGTTCATTTCCAAAAGGGAAGAAATATAGGGATGGAATTTCAAGGTACACTGCAAACACTCTTTTTGATCCCTTCCCTCAGATTTGGATATGACTGGTTTTAGTTTGAAATTTCATATTACTGTATTTTATAAATAACTGTATCTCCTTTACCTTGAGGAGAGCTGACTGTATTCAAGTACTTTTATGTGTGGATATTATCTAAGTACTCTAAATGAACTAAAATATTTAATTCTTCCAGTAATACTGAGAGACACGTTTTACTGTTATCATCAATATTTACAAATAAGGAAACTGAACTTAATTAATATTTTACTCCAGCGTTAGCAAGGAGGTAGGATTTAAAATCCAGACTGTTCTGGCTCCTGAGCCAATGCTCTTTTTCCTCTTGTTTTGTTTTGTTTTTTTTTTTTTTTTTACTTGTACGTATCTCATTTGTATTTATCTCTCTTGTGTTTAGTAATGTACCTTATAGATGGTAACAAGTGGGTACCAAGCTCATGTGAGCCTTAGCCTGGCTCGGTTCAATCTGATTGGCCATACAACTAATTTTTCATCTAAATACCTCCCACTGTACTTCTGCCATAGGTTTATGGGTTCATTAGCTCCCATTTTTTTTTAAGATAAAATGTTTATTCTTGTATTATTATAGTATTCATGGATCTCAACCACCTAGTCTCAGAGAAAACGTAAAAACTGTTAACCTCCTTTTCTTCAGGAGGTAAGAAACAGGCTTGATTTACTGTATTCTGTGTATTAGTTTGTAAACCTTTTAGGACATAAATAACTTCCTGACCTGTCATTTTTTACCAGCTTAACTGGGCTTTGCTTCTATCATGAGACTTTTTTATGATGGATTTTCTTGTCCTTGAGAGAAGCTGTTATTATAAATGTGTTTGGGTCTTCTCCCTTCCAACTAAATTTTATTTTAAGGCATTTTTCATAATGTCTAGTCAAACATTTTCTTCCTTTGTTTCTGTGTCTCATCTTTTATGAAGAGGCCTATAACTATAATTGAAACCTCTGTACTTGCCCATTATTTAAATTTTTTTTTTAATTGTCGATGCCAGAATGCCTTTGTTTTGTTTGTTTATTTTTATATGGTGCTGAGGATCAAACCCAGTGCCTCACCCATGGTAGGCAAGGCTCTGCCACTGAGCTACAGCCCCAGCGTGCCCATTACCTTTTTTATAAAAGAAAATATTAAGGGCTGGAGTTATGGCTTAGTGTGGTATAGAGTGTTGCCTGGCATGTGTGAGGTGCTGAGTTCAATTCTCAGCACAACATGTAAATAAAATAGAGGTTCAAAAAAAAAAAAGAAGTAAAATATTGAGATCAAATATGAACAAATTATTATTTTGAAACTAAATTTTTGTATTATCTCATCAGCTTTTATTAGAAATAACAATAATATTTCAGTGGTTGTATGATTTTCATACAGTACTACAAATGTCTTCTTCTGTCTTCAGAATTCAGGAACATTCTGTGGGTACTCTTCAAGTTTTGAATTGCTGTTTTCTGGTGCCCAGGACTCAGCCCAGGGCCTCATCATTCTAAAGAAGTGCTCTACCTTGGAGCCACACCCCCAGCCCATTCTTCATGTTTTAAAAAGATATAGACGCTGCCCTTCTCTAGTTCCTACCTCAAAACACAAAAGCACTTAACCATACACACACATTATTTGAGACACACCCAGATAGCCTCTATTCTACTTTAAGTCAGGAATTAAACTATGTTTAATTAAATTAAACTATGTTGCAGAAATCTGTATTGTCGGTATGTGGTAAATGGATCAATATAGCATGTGTATATAGATGCTTATTTATATTTAAACATAGATAAGTACAAGTTAATATAAATTTTAATTTTATGTTGGATTAAACATGGGAAATGAAGCATACTCATATTTTAGCTCCCCCTCCCTTTGAAATACCAATAAATTGACAGCAGAGTTTTTTAAAGGCAAATCCACAAGACATAAGAAAATGGAAGAAGAAATAACAACTGCCAATTTTTGGAAACCAGAGTGCAGACAGGCATTTAGTAAACTTGATAAACCTAAGAAAACTAAATCTTGGGCTGTAGTGGGAAAGTAGAGGAGCACTATGCACCATAGCTGAGATCTTCAAAAAGTGGTTGGGAGTTGCTGGCTGTAGGTATTTCTGGAAGTGCAGATGAGGCTAAACAGAGGTGCTGCACAGTCTTTTCAGAAGCAGTTAGAGCTTCCAGGTTTCCTTCCAGCACTGGCCCAGGACTGGAGGTTTATTATTGGGAGAGGATGGAGCAGAGGACCTTTCAGCTGGGACACAGACATTGCTGGGGTGGGCTGCTCTCATGAAAGCAAAGGAATAGAATATCCTGAATTTTGAGCAGTCTAGTTTTTTTCTTCAACCCAGGTCCTAAAACCTTGGCATCCAGGTGCTTGTCTTCCTGACAAGGTTGAATAACAAGTAATGTACCTTATAGATGGTAACAAGTGGGTACCAAGGTTGGAATAACCTTCCTTGGGGAATGTGGCCAGCACAAGAAAATAAACCCAAAGATCCTGACTTCATAGACCACAGTGCATCTCCCAGGCCAAATCACTACAGTGAAAAACACTTTTGTGAAGCCCCGCAGCTTTTTTAAGTGTCTCACTTTAAATAAAAGCAGATAGCAAAGTACTGCGTGTTCATTTAAGGAAAGGGGCTAGCATGAAAGGCAAATGAAAGCAAATGGAAAAAAGAAACTTGTAAGAAACAAACGATAAAGCAAGAAGAAAACTATTTTTAATATCTTCAGAAAAATAAGGAGATATTAAATCCATAAAACAAGTGTAGGATCCTATAAACAGGAACATTTTAGAGCAACAAAGAGCTTATGGGTGTAAAAAATAATGGAAATGAAAAACTTAAGAGAAATGAAAAACAATAGAAAATTCCAATTGAGGAAAAGTTCCAGAGAATAAAATTTAAAGGCAAATAGATGGGAAATTATAATAGAGAACATACAAGAAAATTTGATAACAGCCTAGAAGACCCCACATTGTAATAATCAGAATTCTGGAAAGAGAAAATGGGAAGGAGGGAGGGGAGAGTGAGTAAATTGACAAAAGAATTACTGAAGACAGTTTCTTGAGCTGAGAGATTTATAGGTTTCTAAGAAAAGATACACCAAGTGCCCAACTCTATGGATAAAAATAGATTCGAATCAAGTAGAAAAAGGGGAAACTTCAGAGCAAGGAGAGAGCAGCTCTTTACCATCTTCCAGAGAGGAAAATGAACTTGCATATAAAGGGACAAGAATTCCCCTGGCAAAATGGGAGACCAGAAGACAATGAAACAGTACCTTTGGAGCAAAAATATTTTCCAACTTAGGATTTTGAAGCAAACAGTTAATTGAGACAATAGACTCATCAGACATTCAGGGTTTCCAAAACTTCCTCTTGTTCCTACACACCCTTTCACAGGAGCTGCTGGAGAATGTGTTCTTCCACGGCAAGGGAATAGACCAGAAAAATGAAGATGGGAGTGAGAATGGGAGAGCCGGGAATCAGGAGACACGAGGGCAAAACAAAACAGAGGGAAGCTCCTGGTCTGACCTGGGCAGCAACCCTGAGGCCAAGCAGCCCACTTGGGATTTGCCTTCAGGAAGATAAGTCAGTGGCATATGTGTTCTATGGAACATCACCAAAGGGGATTTGTACCATTTATAGTGAATTTGGGGTTGAATGAGCTAAAAGTATATAGAAAATGAAGCAGCTCAAGAAGCAAGGCAGTGCTTAGCTCCAAGGAAAATAAAAATACTGTGCTGGAAAGAAATGAAATCAGTAGGTTGTTTGGCTCAGTCAAGAAGAGCTTTCACACAGTCTTAGTAAGGCCAACTCCAGGAAGTTGCCCAGCTGGTTAAAAATCTAACTATATTGACACAATGGGAGGGAAGAGGGAAGGAGTGGGAGATGAATCAGTGGGGACACTGAGGGTAGGAAAAATTTTTGTGTACCATTTTATATTGCTTTGATTTTATTTTTTAAGCCACAGGAGTTGTTATCCTAAACAACAAAAAGGAAGTTTTTAAATGAAAATCATTTTACTATAAATCATGGACTTTGAACAAGTGATTTTCATAAAATGCATTTTTTTCCCCTTCTCTTTTTCTTTTCCAGAAATTAAAACACAGAGCACGGGGTTGTTCACCGGATATCAGACAAATAGACCTTGATGTCAACCGTACATTCAGGGACCATATTATGTTTAGAGACAGATATGGGGTTAAGTAAGTAAAGTTTAATATTATCAAATGTAAAAAATAGCATTTATAAATAGTCTTTATCAAAGCATTAAGATATTTTATGTAGATTATAATTTTTATTTAGATCCCCAAGATTGAAATGTTTGCAAATCATTTGAGTCCGTTTGGTATAAAACTTAGGATCTAGCTTAACTAAAAAATGTTAACCTTTGACATTGTAGATGTTATAAAATTAGTGAAGAATCATTTTGTGGCTTGAGAATTCTTAGGAATACAGTAGATACTTTTATGAAAAGTTGTAGAAAAGAGAGATTGTATGTGTTTGAAAACTGTGTCAGTGATAAATATAACCTTGATTTCACGCATAAATGAAACTTAAGGAAATAAATATTAGGACCACACACTGGTGTATCATTGCTATGACATTTTATGAATGAAAGATACAATTTTGCTGACTTCTGTATTTGACCCAGGCCAACCAGTGAGGGTAGAACCCAGTAAGAAATATATGTTAAGAGATTGACTTGTCCAGTTGTTGAGGGCTGGCTTCCCAAGTCCAAATCTACAAAGCAAACTATCAGAAAGGACAAGCTAGAACTCTTGGGCACAAACTGAAGCTGTTGTCCTTAGGTGGCATTTCTTTTTCAGGGAAGCCAGAATGAACATGGTCTATTCAGATTTCATTGGATATTCTTCCCCCAGTTTAAGTCAACAGAATTTGGATTTTAACCCCATCTACAAAATACCTTCACAGTAACATCTAGATGAGTGTTTAAATAATAGTGTTCAGTAACCTAGCCAGATTTCTACACAGAGCCAACCAACACAGTCCACCTGTGCCAACTGGCTACTGACACTCATCTCCTTAAGCAATTCTTAATTTCCAGATAAGACAGTAGCAAATTCATACTTCTGTCTAACATGATACAACATTTCTGCTTACAACTGAAAACACTCTTAACGCTTTTCCCATAAGTGGATATCAAGTCCTTGGGCCATGTTCAGACCTCTGCTTTTCTATCCTGAACTTAAATACTGTCATATAAGTGTAATTATCATAAAGAATAAAATTTGGGGCCTGCGACTGCAAGGTAGGCAGACCACAGGACCCAGAGAAGGAGCCCAGCGGCCCACCTGCGCAGTAGACAGACCACCCCAGCTGGAGGAGGAGTCCAGCCTCCCGCCTTCCACCTGCACAGTAGGCAGACCACTCGACCCGGAGAAGGGGCTCAGCAGCCCGCCTGCATGGTAGACAGACCTCCCCAGTTGGAGGAGCCCAGCCTCCCATCTGTGCAGTAGACAGATCACCCCAACTGGAGGAGGGGCCCTGCCGCCCACCCGTGCGGTCACCTGACCGAGCTCTTGACAAACATAAGGTTTCCCCAACACCCCCACCTCATCAAACACCTTATGAGAAAAACTGATGGAAGTCATCTTGGAAAATCCCACCAACACTTAAAACCCACTAACCAGTTGGCATGGCTACCAACGCAGTTCTGCATCGGATCAGGTACCTGGTTTACATCTCAGAGAATAAGAGAAGAGAGGCCACAGGTGGAAGCTCAAGTCCTCTCACAAAGACTACCACCACCATCCTGAACCCAGAGACTCAAGCTAGGAATAGACAACGCCACCGACTGGAAGAAATGAAAACAAGAGTTCTGAGAGACATTTTTTTTTCTTTCTTTTTCTCTCTTCTCTCTCTCTTTTCATCCATTCATCCAGTCTCCTCTACCCTTCCCCCTCTCGTCCTCGAAACCTCAACATATATGAAACCAAAAATTGTGCATGAAAAAGGTCTTTAACAACTGAATATCCAGAATAATATACTATAGAGGAATTGCATATGCCCCACCTCCCTCCCCCCTTTTTATTTCTATTCTTTTTTCTCTTATTTTCTTTTTCCTGCTCTCTTTATTCTCTTCCTTGTTAGTTGTTTTCTTCCCTCTTACTCCCTCTATCCCATTTGCAACCCCCTAAATTTTACTATTCATAAGTAGGGTAATCTTATAAATACAGATAGGAATTTGAATCTATATATTCTTCCATAAATTACCCATCTATTGGTTAGAGCTCTCCAAAGTTACTAAGTTAGATTAACCCCATACCCTCACTCCTTTCCCCCTAAACAGAACATCCTACACCTGAAATCCAGTTTTCTTCAAGCTACCAGAAATTGTATGCCTTTCATGAAACTAATAAATATAGTTGTAAAGGATAATCATCGTAAGCAACATTTGTAGACATAGAGTCTAGCTATAAATGTAGTAATAAGGAAAACATGTGCTTAGATGATGTACTATTGATATTGAGAACTGTTACCATGGTCTTTCTTCACAAAAGGGAGACTTTGCAAGTATACAAGAGGATATATAGGGGGAAAATTCAATAACACAACAGTTTCACAAACCAGAAAGAAATGTGAGCAGTATGAAAAGACAAGGAAAGAAAGGACCACAAGCAGTGCAGGTCAACTCAACTTTAGAAGAGGTAATATCTGCAGCAGATGGAATGTCAGATAAAGAATTCAGAATATACATACTTCAGATGATCTGGAGTCTCAAGGAAGACATTAGACAGCAAAATCAGACAATGAAAGATCACTTTGACAATGAATTACATAAACAAATTCAAGAAGCAAAAGATCAACTATATAGGGAGATAGAGGTTATAAAAAACAAACAAACAAAAATTCTAGAAATGCAGGAAGCAATAAACCAAATTAAAAACTCAAATGAGAGTACTAGCAGCAGAGTAGAACACTTAGAATATAGAACATCAGACAATGAAGACAAAGTATTTCAACTTGAAAAGAACATAGACAATTCAGAGAGACTGTTAAGAAACCATGAGCAGAACATTCAAGAAATATGAGATAACATAAAGAGACCAAACTTAAGAGTTATTGGGATACAGAAAGGTATAGAGGTCCAAACCAAAGGAATGAGCCATCTGTTCAACGAAATAATATGAGAAAACTTCCCAGACTTGAAGAATGAAACAGAATCCCAAATCCTAGAAGCCTACAGGACGCCGAATGTGCAAAATCATAAAAGATCTGCACCTAGACACATTATAATGAAGATGCCCAACATACAGAATAAGGAGAGAATTTTTAAAGCTACAAGAGAAAGGAAGCAGATTACATTTAGGGATAAACCAATCAGGATAACAGCTGATCTTTCAACATGGACTCTGAAAGCTAGAAGATCCTGGAACAACGTATTTAAAATGCTGAAAGAAAATGGGTTCCAACCAAGAATTGTGTATCCAGCGAAATTAAGCTTCAGGATGAAAGATGAAATTAAAACCTTCCACGATAAACAAAAGTTAAGAGAATTTACATCTAGAAAACCAGCTCTTCAAAACATCCTCGGCAAAACATTACAGGAAGAGGAAATGGAGAATAACAATGAAAACCAACAGTGAGAGGTAGTACAGTAAAGGGAAAAAATAATCAAAGAGGAAAAACAAACCATGTTAAGTAACATAAATAAACAAATATGGCTGGAAATATAATCCATATCTCAATAATAACCCTAATTGTTAATGGCTTAAACTCACCAATCAAGAGACACAGGCTAGTAGAATGGATCAAAAAAAAAAAAAAAGATCCAACAATATGCTGCCTATAGGAGACGCTTTTGATAGGGAAAGACATACATAGACTGAAGGTGAAAGGTTGGGAAAAATCATATCACTCATATGAACCTCGGAAACAAGCAGGAGTGTCCATACTCATATCAAATAAAATAGACTTCAAGCCAAAGTTAATCAAAAGGGATAAAGAAGGACACTACATACTGCTCAAGGGAACCATACACCAACAAGACATAACAATCATAAATACATATGCCCCAAACAATTGTGCAGCTGTGTT